TATCTGATGGTGCGGCCCATGTCTTGTCTTATAGATACCGGGGGTCATATCTTCACAGCTTGTCCTCGAGCGCCTTGTATCCTTGGAGCAACACTGTCTTGAACAAGTTCGAGCAGTTTAACGTGAAGCCGATCAGTTTAACCGGTGATCCGAGCGGTGGAAGTCAAAGTCGGCCAGTTTAACTAGTGAACTGAGCGGTGAGAGTCGTAGCCGACCAGTGTAACCGGTGACTTGAGCGGTGAGCGTCGAAGCCGACCTGTTAAACTGGTGATCTGGGCGGTGAAAATCGAAGCCGACCAGTTAAACTGGTGACCTGGGCGGTGAAAGTCATAGCCGACCAGTGTAACCGGTGACTTGAGCGGTGAAAGTAGGAGCTGACCAGTTAAACTGGTGACCTGAGTGGTGAAAGTAGGAGCCGACCAATTTAACAATTTAATCGATCTCGGACTTAGCCAAGTAAGGCTTGCTAGAAGGATGTAAGGGGCTCAAGATTGGAAAAATCTCCAGGCGAAGTGTAGCCACTTAGACTCCGTTTGCGAGGAACTATCTATGACTTAGTCAATAAGAAGGGTAAATCAAGAAAAGAGCACCACATTCACCGCTTGGTAAAGTGTAGCCACATAGTCCCCGAGCCTGCTAGAAGATAAAGAAATAAATCTTGTAGCAGGGTCAAAGAAAATAAGCCTGTAAGCTTGCCAATGTCATCTGTCATGTGTGTATCAAGACCTCAGACGTGCTGCTAAAGATCAGCACCCTGATCCGAATAGCATGGAGTAACTTGACAGCACACCGATAAGACGTAGCAAAATCCGACCACCAAGGGAGTCCCCAGCTTAGCGGGTGACGCTTGCACGAAGAAACCGAACACCGAGGAGTCCCTAGCTTAGCTGACGAGCCCCCAGCATGGCTGAGGACGAAGCGACGAACAATCCAAATGCCGAGGAGTCCCCAGCTTAGCTGGCGAGCCCCTAGCGTAGCTGATGATGAAGCGATGGACAATCCGACCAGTTGGTTGGTGAAGAATCGAGCGTCGAGTAGCACAACCAACTGGTCGGCGGTGAAGTCTGACGATGAAGCAATGAACAATCCAAATGCCGAGGAGTCTCCAGCTTAGCTGGTGAGCCCCTAGCGTAGCTAACGATGAAGCGACGGACAATCCGACCAGTTGGTTGGCGAAGAATCGAGCGCCGAGCATCCCAACCAACTGGTCGGCAGCGAAGTCTAATGATAAAGCGATGAACAATCCAAACACCGAGGAGTCCCTAGCTTAGCTAACGAGCCCCTAGCGTAGCTGTCGATGAAGCGACGGATAATCCAACCAGTTGGTTGGCGAAGAATCGAGCATCGAGCAGCCCAACCAACTAGTCGGCGGTGAAGTGAGCGTCGAGCAGAAGTGACCGCCGAGCACTCCGACCAACTGGTCGACGACGAAGTCTATGAACCTAGCGGTCCGACCAGTTAATCGGCGAAGAAGTCCGAGTACCAAGTGGTCCGACCACCAGTACGATGATCCTGCACTAAATATGTAGAATGGGTAGTACATGATGTAAAAATATATGAACTCGGTGATGAAGATAGCAGAGCAAAATAGATAGACATTATGTTTGTATGAAGTGTTCATATTTTAAATATGAGTAACTTCTTGCCAGTTGGTTCTGTATCGTATCACTAGCCCCAACTAGCCCAAACTCTATAGCATGGAGTGGCTAGCACCGTGTAATGCCAGAAGAGCACAAAGGCGTTGAGAGAGCCACCGCCAACCACCCATAACGCAGAGGGCTGACGCTCATGCACGTGTAGGAGTGAGATCGAGAACGGAGCTGTTTCTGGTAACGCAAGTGAGAACGCGGCTGGTCGGCAAGTTTACAGAGAAGATATTGCATCATGGAGCATCTTAAACACGGAGATATTAAACATGGAGACATTTAATTATGGAGAATAACAGGAGAAATAATAATTGGAGAAGCATGGCGAGGAGAAAGTTGTATTAAATGCACATATAAGAAGGTACTTATCTTTAGTCTGGTCGGCGAGAGGATAGATGTCTCCAATCTGGTCGGCGAATTTGTCCCTTAGAGCGCCTTGGTAGGAGGCAGCGATGCTGGTGAGCCCAAAGGAAAGGGCCATTAAGGTGCCATCTCTACGGCTATGCTGATGGGGCCCGGGCAGATTGGATCTGATCGATAGATACTGTCAAGTCATCGTTGTCGATTTGCTTCCTCGGGTAGCGACAGAGCGACCGATGAGTTGCTAATGAAGATGACCTCGGAGGTGGTTCCGAGATCGGATCTGCTGGCGTAGGCGTAATCGACGCAGTAGAGTTCTGCACCGGCTCGACGATCTCGCCATCACCGTTGTCATTGATGAACTAGGAGATTGAACCAACCGTGAAGGTTTGGCCGCGCTTGGGGAGAACAGAGAGCTCAGAAATCGTACCATCTTGTTCATCATGGAAACAGCATGCACACCCCTACCTGACGCGCCAACTGTCGATAGAATATCGTCGGCAGTCCTCCGAGGAGTATCCTACGAAGGTAGATTGATCGGCAGAGATGCGCGTAATCCAGAATAAGAAGGCAACAGAGACACCAGAGTCAGACAGGTTTGGGCCATCAGTGCGACGTAATACCCTATTCCTGTGGTCTGTTAGTTTGTAATGGCTATCGTATGATATTGCGTGTGTTCAGATGCCTTAGGCTAAGCTTAAGGATCCGTATGGCGATGAATGAGGTGTCGTCTAGAGGATCCCTGCCTCTCCTTATATACTCTGGAGGAGTAGGGTTACAAGAAAAATATCCTATTTGGTATTATACAATAAATCATATCTTCATGTAGCCTTGCGATGCACGCCGACTAGTGTCGTGCGCCGCAAGCCTTGATCTTGTGGGTTGGGCCACATATGATGGTGCGGCCCATATCTTGTCCTATAGATACCGGGGGTCATATCCCCACAACTATTTTGTCAAATAATATAAAATAACTCATGACTCTAAATTGTATTACCCACATATGTTTTTAAGAAGCATTATCTAAAGTAGACCTAAATTTGTATTTAATTGTTGACGTCCTTTATTATGATCGATAATTTACATAACTCAATTTTCATCTCATTATTATAAAAACTAAATACCCCCACAAAGCTGCATCTAAATTATCAAATCTCCTATAACCAAAAAATTATTTAGATAACGAATAGAGCATATATATATTTCTATATTACCCCACCTCTATCAGTATTAATATAGTAAGATTTAATTAAAGTTAATATACATACCGTGCCAACATGCATAAGCAATAAAATACATTGTTATTTTTCATCATATAAAAAATATTTTCTTAACAACTCATATACTAATGATACTAACAAATTATGTAAAACCATATTAGTAACCATAACATATAATTTATTTGATTGTTATTTAGTTATAAACATGTATTTTAACTAAAATGTTTGACATGTGTATCTTGATGGTATAACCATAACTGCAAATATAATTCCTTGATAGGGAGATTCAATCATCTTGAGAAGTGTAGGAGACCACTGGTGGCTATATTTTCTGGCCTGTTAAAATACTTTAGAGTAAAAAATCGATAATTACAAGGTTTAACCCCTATCGAGATCTCACTTCAAGCTCTATGACTTATCTTAAGTGATATGGCGCAAGTTTCAAATAATGGCCTATGCTATTTTAGTACTTAAGAACATACTCTATGACCTAAACTTCTTATTTTAAAAAATGCAAAAAGGAGAGTTAATGGAAGATACAATAAGCTCAAGAGTTTCAAACTTAATTTGAGGAGAGAGAAAAAATCCCTAGCAGTCGATAATAATAAAATTTAAAAAATCAAAATTTTGGTTCATGACTTCATAAGATACATGATGCAACAAGAGCGACCATGATTAATGGTATGATTTCAAAGTGATTGCATGTTTGAAATATATAGAGGTGTCATGCAAAGGAAAACTATGAATATGGATGAAAATATATAGATTAGTTTCTTAAAAAGAATAGTAATTAATAAGTTTATGATAACTAAATATAGTCTACAGAGTATCTATCATGTCTATTATATTAGAAAATAAACAACGAGAAATAACATATGATTTAATATAAGTAGTTCTTTATTAGTCAGCCCCAATTCCAAATTATAAGATGTTTTGAGTTTTCTTATATAGGTTTTGATACATACTTACATGTACTGCCTTGATATATAGTAAAAATATTATATATAGAAAAGTCAAAACGTCTTATAATTTCGAATGAAGGGATTATTTTAAAATGTAGCCCATGCGAGAGCATGGGTTGATGGACTAGTGTTATAACCTAATTGGGACAAGTTTTTGAGCAATTAAGATCAGGCCGGGCAGGTGCGGTGGTGTGCCAGTATGTCATTATTGTACAAAGCAGATTCTGTATCTACAGGCACTATTTCAAAATTTACTGTAGGCACTGGATAGACTCTGCCTAGCAGCTAGTCAGTTCCTAGACGTCACCTAGGCCTCGCTAGGTGTTTAAACTTTCTGTAGACAAAGAAGAGTAATGCAATGCCAAATCTTAGGAAATTCAGTATACCAAAACACCATGTAAATATAACCAATCCCTTATACAACTAGGTTCCGAATTCCATGAACCATGATGAACAGGCATATAGACAATACTGACACAAGACAACTGAACAACAAGAGATAGCTCCAACATTTCATTATAAAAATGGTATTTAAATACATGGAAGTTTTCTGAGGAACAAAGTATATAGCATCCGCGCCTCAACATATATAACAGTTAAACTCAATCAATCACCTACGTAGGTGCATATCAGCATTATTTGAACTCTTGGGCCCCTTTGGATCAATCGTTCCCCGTGGGGCTTCGAGGCGATTGAGTGGAAATTAGTTCAATTCCTCCTCAATCCCCTTCGATCCCATGGGGAACGGGTGTACCCAAACGAGCCCTGAGGGATTGGAGCCGTCCACCTACAGTTCCACCAACAATAGGCACCTAAACCGTAGAACGCTTTTTGAGAGACATGAGTGTGCCTAAGATACTGACAAGTACACCAACTACGGAGAATATTGCGAAGATGGTTCTCTTGTTCTTGTAAAAAAACGCTTGGACCTTGATCTGCATCCGCCTATTGACCTTGTACTTCTCAATCTCCATCATGATGCGGACATAGCAGTTGGATCCACGTAGGGGCAGGCTCTGAAGTCTCGTGAAGAATGCAAGAGCGTCCTTGTTGATCAGCCCTGCTCCTCCTTGCAGGAGATGCTTTGTCCGCAGCTCCTGCACGTCCTCCTCCCTATGAACAAGCAGGAGAGGAGGAGAAGGTACGAGCAGACGGCAGAGTCTTCGGGCTCAGCATCCTGGAAATTGGAGGTCGTGCACAGCTCGAGAGCCGCCATGTTGATGAGGAAGCTGGCACGTTCGTCGTCCAGCGACAGCGGCGCCATGGAGAGCTCGGCGAAGATCCCTCTCTTGTTGACGCCCATGTGGATGAGCTCCGTTGTTTCTTCATTGGCTTTGAGCTTGATGCCGTTTTCAGCTAGTTCAATGGCACTCACAGAAAATGATATCATCTTGGTTTTTCACTTGAATGGGTGGCTTGGTGTTGCCTTTTCCCACAATGTAGAACCGAAGGAGGCCGAGGAGATGCGGTGGCTCGAAGCTATCATCCAACACAAGAGGCTTTTCGCCGAGAACCTGGCGGTCCTGCAGGTACTGTTTCCAGAACGCGACGAAGGCCTTCAAATCCACGGGCCTGAACCTCAAGACAGCCTCTACACACACCAGGGGATCTGGTTCTGGAGCAGCACGATGTCATGGCGGATTGCCTTGCGGTTGAAGTCGAAGAAGCCACGCAACGATGGGTCCATGGTGCCACAACCATCCGTGGTACAAGCAAAGTACTGCACCAAGAAACAAGCATCATAGAACATCATATGAAGGAAGTCGTCTTCGCTGATGCCTGCCATCACATCCTTGTCGTATAGGCTGTGGGCATCATATGCGGCGGGAGACAACGGCATCATACATGTCTTGTACTGAGTGGCCCGACTCCATGATGCAGTGGTAGGCAGCCACATACTTCGCTTTCTCCGCCTGCTTGAGCTGGTTCTGGCCATGGTGGTAAGGCCCAATGGCCACCAACCTCGGGACGGTAAAGAATTTGTTATCAAAATCTTTGATGCTTGGAGGGTACATATGGATCTTCATCTTCATCATGTCGATATCAACCTTGAACTCACGTGCTGCATCCTCAAACACATGAATCGGATTGATTGGGACCTTCACTCCCATATTTTGAAAATAAGCCTCAAACTCTTGTGCTGCTTTGTCAATGGAATCCTCATCTGTGGCTGCAGCATGCTCAACCATCTGCCGTCCGCTAGATGTTTGGAGCCAGCTTCTATCAAATGTCTCAGTGGACTCTGACTCCACAGGGTAGCCAGGAGCCCATCCTGCATATTCCATGGTCCAGTTCGACCGTTGAAGGTCCAAAGGTACCCACGCTGCAGCTGGCGGCTCCATGCTCCAATCAGTCAGATGAAGAGTACTGTACAAAAAGTTGGAACTATTAGATGAAAAAGATCTATACAAAGATCACAGTGAAACTACTAGCTACCATACGAGAAAAGGGCAATGTCATGTTAATTACAAACACAAAATAGTGGTGACTCAGAGACAACCAAGAGAGAAGGAAAGAAAAACTTACAGCAGGGCATGATGAAGAGCCTAGTCGACTCCCCACTTATAGAGCTTCAATTCCTGTGTGGCAGATCAACTGTCGTCTATTGTTGTCATGTCAGATTATATAAGACATCGTTGATATATTCTTGCACCCATGCATATAGTTGGTGGTACTATTATATATCTAGTTCACATCCACGACAAGATCTACAGCTACGTGGTCATGTGTCAGATGGGGACCAGTGCAAGGTGGCAGGTGCATGCGTTTGTGTAGAGGAACATGAAAACCATAGCCGCTGTCATCTCCGCTATTGCTGCACTTGTCACTATCTTAGGGACGCTCAAGTCGGACAACGTGCATTGATCTACGATGATGCGAGATGCTCCGACTGTTAATTTCCTTGGTGATTAAATTTCGCTGCTTCTTAATCTTCTACTTCTTTAGTTAGTGTTCTAGAGGTGGCTGTATCAAGAAAATGCATCAAGAGACGTCTAAGGGCAAGTAGGAAGCTATGAAATACCATCTACCCTTGGAAATAGGGGCCATTTCTATGGGTGATAGGAACATCAGCGGCCCTTGGAAATAGGGGCCATTTCTATGGGTCATATTAATATTATTAATTTAATTGTATGCGCTCTATGATATACAAATAATAGTACACGCATATAATCCTATGATATAACTAATTCAACCTGTTTAGTGTCAGGATGCAAGCCAAGTTTCAACTTAAGTGGAAAGCAATACTACTAGGATATGGACTCTTTTTAATAAAAGGGAATTTTTTAATACAAAATAAAGAGTACTAGAAAAATTACATAACTCAGTTTTCTTCTAATTATTAGAAAATTTAAATACCCCCCAAATTTGCATCGAAATTAGCAACATCTCCTATTACCAAAAAAAGTTTAGATAACAAATAGAGCGTGTATATGTTTCTACATTACCCCCACCTCTATCAATATTAGTACAGTAAGATTTGATTAAAGTAAACATATGTGTGGTGCCAACATGCATGGGCAATAAAATACATATGTTATGTTTCATCATATAAAAAATGTTTTCTTAATAACTCATATATTAAAGATTCTAACAAATTATTTAAAACTAGTAACCATAAAATACAATTTATATAGATTGTTGCTTTAGATATATGTTTATGTATTTAACTAAATATGTGATATGTCTATGTTGATAGTATAACCATAACTGCAAATATGATTCCTTTATAGTAAAATTCAATCATCTTGAGAAGTGTGGGTGACCACTAAAATACTTTAGAGTAAAAGTTGATCATTATAAAGTTTAAGTATTAAAATTCTCTTGAGGATATAGCATTGCTACCTCAATCTGAGATCTCACTTCAAGCTTTATGACTTATCTTAAGCGATATGGTGCATGTTTCAAAAAATGGCACATGCTATTGTAGTACTTAAGAACATACTCTACGATCTAAAATCCTTATTTTAAAAAGTGCAAAAAGAAGAGTTAATGAAATATACAATAAGCATAAGAGTTTCAACTTAATATGAGGAGTGAAAAAATCCATAGCAATCAATAAGAATAAAATTTGAAAAATCAAAATTTAAATTCATAACTTCATAAGGTAGATGAATGTGATGTAACAAGAGCCACCATGATTAATGGTAAGGTTTCTGAAGTAATTGCATATTGAAAATATATAGAGGTGCCATACAAAGAAAAATATGTAAAAACATATGGATTAGTTCCTTGAAGAAATAATAATTAATAATTTTATGATAACTATACACTACTACAGGATGGCCTTGTTGTCGGGACAGTAACGGCCTTTAGTCCCGGTTATCAGCACGGGACAACGATCCGGACTAAAGGTGGAACCTTGAAGCATCGGGTCATCGAAGTCGGGACTAAAGAGGAACCTTTAGTCCCGGTTGGTGTTACCTAACGGGACTAAAGGCCCTCCAAATTGAAAGCAAACATGGCAAGATTTTTAGTCCCGGTTGGTAACCCCAACCGGGACTAAAGGTTCATTTTTTTTTTTTTTTTTGTTTAATTTGTTTTCAGTTCAGTTACACATATTTGTTTAATATATAATATGTTTTTATGTACGTATTCTCTATTTGCTAATATAAATACATGCACACATATAATTACATCTAATTCTCATCTCGAGCATTATTATATTCGAATAAAGTATGAAACTATATATATTATAGATATATATGTATATATACAACACTTTCATAATCTTGTTCTCAAAAATAACGATATCAATAAACATTTAATTTACAACATTTATTCCTTAGGATCAAAGTAGAACTTGTCGTTGGGATTTAGCACTTTTTTAGAAGAAATCTCGCTATTGACTCTTGAACTGCTTTCAAATGGTCTTTTGCATGACCCTTTGTTTCAACCATTCAGTCTTGCATTCTTGAACCGACACTTCTCTAGAGTTGTTTGGTCGATAGACTTCTATGTTGGAACCATATTCATTAGCAACAACAAGATTTTACATTGGTTGCTACATTGTCCGAGTGTGGGACATCCTTCCCCGATGCTCTTTTCCTTTTCTTATGTGCATCATGTGACTTCACGAGGAGCGGTCATAGTCGATAGTGGCGGAGGCTTACGAACTTCAAGCATCTTTTTTTCTTGTGAGCTTCGACCTTCGGCCTCGGTTGATCTCGTGGTATGTAAAAGTACGACTTCTCCTTAAGCTTCGCTTGTCTCTGCTTTTGGATATCTATAAAAAAATCTTTCACTTTTTTGTCTTCTTCAGCTGCTATTTGCTCATCAGTCTTTTCAGGAAGTATTTCTTGAGAAATAACTCTTTTTTTTGGGTCTTCTTTGCCGTCGGGACCTTAGACGTCTTTGTAGTGCGTCGCTGTGGAGGGGGTGGGGGCGGTGTTGGAGACCGGCGTGGAGGCGATGAGGCCGGTGTTGGAGTCCGGCGTGGAGGCGTTGGAGATCGTTGTGGAGGCGGTGGGGCCGGTGTAGGAGTTGGAGATCATTGTGGGGGCGATGGGGCCGGTGTAGGAGTTGGAGATCACCGTGGGGATGAAGTCGTCTCGCCCCCCGCGACGCTGTGATGAGATGGGGAATGAATGATTGGGTTAGGCTGGGGGAGACCCTGCTACAAAAACAAGTTGTGGGTCAATTATTTTTGAAGCCAATATAAAATTAATGGAAAATAATATTTCATTCACTTTCATTCGTACCTAGGGTGAGGTAGGGGAAGCGGTGGCGCCCCAGGAATGATGATGAAGCGTTTGCGCCATGGAATAAATGTCTTCTCTGTTTCTCCTAGTGTCTTCTCCCCATCACTGCCTTCAATGTCAAGAGGAATATTGCTGTAACCTTTGAGCACTCTATCGACCGAGACGCTAGCATATCCACGTTGAATAACTGACCCATGGATTCTTGGTGTCTTCGTTCGGTCCATTAGAGATACAACCCAAACAACCACCATGATTGATGCATTATTACCATCTGGAATGTGCAGCTCACATGTTGTTAGAGGCTCGGTAATGTCATCAACCGGGAAGCGCAACCCAGCGTCACCTTGAATAACTGGCAGCTCCATGGAAGCACAACTGCTTTTCATCTGACCAACGGGGCTAATGGTGACTCCCGGCATTGATTGCGATTGCATTTGACTCATTGCTAGTTGCACTTGCCTCTTGATCTCCTCCTGCATTCTTGCCTCAAGAGATTTTTCTCGTTCACGTGACTCAAGCAATGCTTATCGTGACTCATTAACAAATTGCTCCAATACACGGATTCGGTCTACCTCCTCATCCTTCTTTCTCTGGCGGCTTCTGTAGGTATCCTTGTCTGCCGGGAATGCTTGTAGCCACGGAACCACCCCATAGCCTCTTGTTCGACCACCGTGTTTGGGATTCTCTAGGGCATATGTCAATTCATCCCTCTCTCTGTTGGGCTTTAAAACACCACTATCGCCTTCTTCCCTAGCACGAGCTAGTCTCTCGTGTTGCTCTCTCAATTTTTTGGCCAAAATTAGCTTGCCGAGGTAATCCGGGTCTAGGCTTCCCCATGAGCGTAGAACCAATTCTTCATGCGTTGAGGCCAGTTCTTCTCTATTGTTTTAGGTATGATTCCTTGGCGTAATCTCTCGCTTCTAGGTTCTTCCACTTGGGAATAGCACTCCTATAACCACCGATCCCATGCGATGATGGTATTGCTTCTATCGGGCATTCTCTGATTCCTCATCATCATCGTTCCTCACTCTCTTGAGATGTCTTGTATTCTACGAAGTCATCCCAATGGGACTCCAACTTGACAAACGCCTTAGCATTGAAATTCGGCGTACCATTCTTCAAGATAAACTTTTTATACAATGTCTTCTTCCAACTCTGGAACAATGTTGCCATCTTCTTCATTGTCCAATCCCTCACTAGCTCCTTCAAAGCATCATCTGCTTATAATGTGAAATGCTGAGTGATATCTCTCCAAGCTAGGTTCTTGTCACGATCAGATACAAAACTAACATTAGGAGCGGATATCTTTTGCTTCCATTCATGAGCAGTAACTGGGATCCTATCTCTTATAATGACCCCACATTGATTGACATATGTCTGAGCATGTGGTCCCAATGGTTTGCGGTGTGTCGGTGTCGAATTACGATATTATGAAACGGCCCTCTAATGGCTTTTTTTGGCCCTCGGACTTTCCTACTCTTGTCGGTGGTTGATGTAGATCCAGAGACCGGCTACATGAGTAGAAATACAACGATTAACAACAAATATACGTACGCATGCATCTATAAGAGATGATAGATAATCGAATATACCTCGCCAGTATTTTCTTGCGCGACAATTTGTTGATCTTCAACCACCGGGAT